TCAAAATTTGAAATTTTTCGCGAGCCGCAATTAAATACGTATTAAAAAGGTATGCAAAAAATTCCAGATTACAAATTATATCCGTAGCAAGAGTGATACAAATTGTTTCCTCCAGAGCACAATGTCAACTGTCCATTGCAATGACAGTTTACAAATTCAAAATCGGTCTGGAGTCGGTCGATAACGGACGATTACGCCACTGTTTATGTTCGTTCGTGCAGTTTTCGATGAGTCATATCATTCTTAACTTGGACGAAAATGAAATTTGTTACAACATTGCACTTAGTCTTTCATATTTGTTGTTAGTAATTTAAAAGACATTTTGAAACACATACGGAACAATAATAATTTTTTAAAATATAACAACACAAAAATGAAAAGTACATTTATCGAGAGCCACAAATAATCCTTCAAAGAGCCGCATGTGGCTCGCGAGCTGCAGGTTGGCCACCCCTGCTCTATGCCTTCATAAAAGATGTACTTTTCCTTTGTTTAAGGGTATTTGGGCAGTTTATTCTCTGTTGTATTCTCAAGTAAACAATACATACAAGTACAGTACAGTATTTTCTGAGGAAACACTCATATTTATTTTTTTTAAACCCCATTCCCGATAATCCAGCATTTTCACAAACTCGGTCACCCTTCGGTCCACATTAGGCCGAGTTTTCGAGGCTCTACTGTATTAATCCATTAACCTTACAGTATAATAACAATGTAGTTTGATATTAATTGTGTAAATTTATGTAAAGTATGTTTATGGCCAAATCAACCATAGAAAAGATAGAATTGAAAGTATGTAGGTTGTTTTTTTCCAACCTCTGATGGTCCATAAAAAAAGACGAGTAAATAACAAAATGAATTTATTACCAAAAGTTAGGTACAAACATGGTTACTTTTCGACATAATCACCGTAAAGATTGAGGCATTTGTCATATCTGTGGACGAGCTTTTCCATCCCATCTTCATAGAATGTTGCCACCAATGACTTGAGATGGGCCCTAATGTTGTTTTGAAGATTGTCATTAGTCTCGAACCTCTGCCATCCTAGCCACTTTTTCTGTTCAGAAAAGAGGTGGAAGTCGCTCAGCACTAAATCAGGGCTATATGCTGAGTTTTTTAAGGTGTTGAAGACTTCCACCAGCTTGGAACTTTTTAATGTGTGAAGACTTCCACCTCTTTCCTGAACAGAAAAAAATGGCTAGGAGGGCAGAGGTTTGAGACTAATGACAATCTTCAAAACAACATTAGGGCCAATCTCAAGTCATTGACAGCAACATTCTATGAAGAGGGGATGGAAAAGCTCGTCCACAGATATGACAAATGCTTCAATCTTTACAGTGATTATGTCAAAAAATAACCATGGTTGTACCTAGTTTTGGTAATAAATTCATTTTGTTATTTACACTTGTCTTTTTTTTTATAGACCATAGGAGATTGAAAAAAAACTGCCCTTGTATTATACCAAAAACATTGATTTATATGATTGTGATGTCTTCATTGTCATTTGTAAACTTTTTGTGTAATTTTATTATTTCATTAATTCCAACTGAAGTGGGACTCAGAAAAAGGGTTCTGAAATGCAATTGGGTATATTAGTACATATTGGTTTAAATTTAATTATTTTACAATAAATATAAAAATATATTGATAACACTAAATGTCTTCATCCATCTGTCTTTTCAATCACCAGCAAAAGTCAAGAAAGAAAGAAAGAAAGAAAAAAAAAAAAAAAACAATTTTCACTTATAGAGATGACCTTTTATTCTATATTTTTATATTTATTGTAAATAACTGCCAGCCAACTGTAATTTTAACTTTAACAAATTATTTATTTTATTTTTAATTCATATTACTGTACAATTTAAATATTAAAAAAATTTTGTTTTGTAAAATCATATTCACTGGTGTGATAACCCCTAAATTATTAAACTAGTAAGGTTACCCCAATTTACATTGTACTACAATTGTTTATTTTATTTATTTATACTTTTTTAGGTTTGCCCATTGTGTAATATGTATTCTCTTATTTAAATTAAGTCAGTTAAACATTCCTTCATTGGATTTAACTTTAAACCTGATGAAGAACTATTAACTAGCTCAAAAAACATTAGTTTGTACTGTAAAATAGTTTGTGCTGGATATTAAAAGGTTTTGTATATTGAAAAAAACATTAATATAAAGAAAGAATCATAAAATTATATTAAAATAATGGATTACTCTCAAATTTGGGTTTGAGAGTTGGCACAAGGCATTAAAGAATATTTTTTAAAACTCATATATAAAATCTTTCAATTTGATACAAATGAGAAAATTCTAATAGATTTTCCATGCCAAATTCTAAATTAAATAAATCTAATAAAAAATAATATAAAGTAAAATATAAGTTTTTCATGTTCATTAAAATTCATTTGTTTCAACTTACTTCTCCTGGATGTTGTAGAATTAAAACAAAGCTTGATACAGTTACAGGTTCTGCTGGAAGAAAAGGACACCAACACACAGTTTTTGGCCTCCTAGAACATATAATTTTTAGTTATAATAGTTTTATAATATAGTTTAATTTATAATAGTTGTTCCTGATGATTGGACATGGCAAGCAAAATTGGACTCGTATCCAGATGTATTTTACTTTTTATTAAATTGTAATTCTGCCAGCCCTTTTCTACAAAGAAATATTATATTTTTCATTAAAGTATTTTAGAAGTAAGATAAAGTATCATAAATTTCAGATAAACTAATCAATTCTATTAATGATTATATTATGTTGAATCTATTAATAATTAAATCATCAAAGATCTATAAATCCATCAGTAAATTTACATTGAAATATTGAAAATCCAGACTAAATAAAGCCATACCCTATCTTGATTTTCAAATATACATGTAAATTAGCATTTTAAGTACTGTAAATTCCAAATAAGCTGTAATTCAGGTTTAGGTGTTCTAAGGAATGTAGAAATACTTAAAAAGATTCAAAATATAATTTATAGAATTACTATATTTAAACAAAAAATATACTAATCATAATTTAAAAATTACAAATTTGGAATGAAAGTCAGAACACCAGCAATGCAAGTCTGAAAGAACATCAACAACAAAGTTGCCATTGAAAGGATTAATAATTATTCATTTTTCAATTGACAAATCCAGATTTTTCAAGTCTGAATGTCTGAATTTTTTACACTTCACTGTATTTATTAAACGAATGTCTTCATTCATGTAATTGTATTATAAAAATAGACAAAAAATAAATTTTCAATCTGATCCTACTTGTTGAGGATAAAAAATCTTTAAACTTTAAAACGTTATAAAAGTAACACAGTAAAAGTAAAAAATGAAAAAGGAAAGCAAATCCAAATGCAGAAATACTTTTAATAAGCCAATAATACCTCTAAATGCATTTCACCTTCATATTCAGAAGGCCTCTTCAGTAGAGTCAGTGGAGAATAGACAGCTTTAAACACAATTTGTATCTCGCAAAGTTACATTTATATCCTGAACAAAAATTTCCAACATGCAGCCACCAGCACACCCATATTTAAATTAAAAACATTATTTTTGCATAACTATTGTGAAGTGTTCTTTTACTTTTCTTTTTACAGTATTTTTCTCACTATAAACAATTTTAAAGTTATTGACATCAATTATACAATTATTAATATTACAATGGCAATAAACAGGAAAATTATTATTTTTTAATCTTACTGAAGCTAGATGTACACCGTAGCTGGTCACACGAGAGAGTTTACAGGATATTGCGCATAGACATTACCTGAAGTTGGTTGATCTGCTGGCAGACACAGTAACCTTCCTGTCCTGGGAGTAGAGGTGAAATCTAGAATTGTTTTGGGTTTTGGTGACAAAGTTAGTCCTATTAGGAGACAATTAAGTATTCCATTTCAGCGATGACATTAATCCAAATAAGAGGCACTAAATAAGTCCATTTGGCGGTGAAGTTAATCCAATTAGGAGTCATAGTGCAAACGCAATGGGTTAATTAAAGAGATGGCGATGACTGATGTTAGAGGACTGGGTGATGACTGTAACCATAAGAGGAATGGGTGACAACTGCCTCAATGGGCCGTTAATTGTTATATTAAAGTTGGAGCATATGGCCGGGAGGCCAAAAGGAGTCAGAAAGTGAGAAAGTGTCACTTTCAACATCAAGAATATGTAAGACGAGATGTTCTCAGGTATAGTTGACAATTATTAATTATATATATATAATTAATAATTGTCATTCAATAATTATCAATTATTACCTGAGAACATCTCATCTTACACATTCTTGATATATATATATATACAGTAATACCTCAACTTACACTATCCCGACTTATGCAAACCTGGAGTTACGCAATTTTCAAATCTCGTCGATTCGTCTTTTGTTTGAGCGCCACACAACTCTTGATTACTCACTCCCCCCACACTATTGTTCAGCTTATATGTTCGGACGTGTCTCGCGGAATCGACACATAGCTACAATTTATTTTGTGTTATTTATTTCTATGTTTGTTATATCTACGGAGAATTGAGAGACTAAGTGGTGATTTCTTATAATCGTGAATGAATCAAAAGACGAGATAAGATTAACTAGAACATTTTTTAGCTTACATACATCCGACTTGGATTTTACACAAATTGCGAAATTATACCCAGACTTACGTGAATTCAACTTACGCGGTCATCGCTCGGTCCCACCTATCGCGTAAGTTTGGGGTATTACTGTATATGATAAAATTGTATTATTTTCTATTGAAATCTGACTTCCCACATATATACATGTAAATTTAAAAAATAGTATTCATAGAACTTTATTAAAAATGAGCAATTGTTTATTGTGACATCATCACAATGCTGGGCTACAATTTTTAATCATATAAATTTAATTTAAAATGTATGCTCTCACTTACAATTAAAAATCGAACTTGTTACTGGCATGTATCCTATAAAAAATTGTCCCCCAAACATTTTCGAACTTTATGAAGCTCTTCAGGTGGAAATGAAATACTTTTTTCTCAAGTATTCCATTTTTTATAGGATACATGCTGGTAACAGGTTCGATTTTTAATTGTAAGTGGAGTATACTTTCGGTGTCAGTAAAGGGTTGAACAGTATATATGCTCTCCACCTCAAATTAGTACTGTAGTGTCTTGCTCCTGTACATCATACTTTTCCTTTAACCTGTCCTACGTTGTTTCCGAAAATATTCGTGTTGACCTCATTGACCTGCGTGGGCAATCCCGAATATTTCCGTGTTTACATCAGAACGTTTTTGATACTAGATGTCGCTAGGTGTCACAATTTTTATATTACAACGAACTTTTGAAATATAATTTTTTTTGTATCTATATAATTCAATATATTTATTTTGTGTGTGAAACATTAAAAAATAATTTTTTACGATACAGCAAACACGATTATTATTTTAAAAAAAATTTTTAGGCTTAACATCAACGAAAATTCAACATGGCGTCACAAGCAACAAATAAAAATTTCAACATGGAATAGGTTAGCAATAGAGTCATGCCAGTCATGTATTACAGGATGATATTCAAAAATCCAGTTTCTTTGGATTTCTGGCATGGCTTTCAGAGCACATTTTCAAATGTACCGCATTGGCGCCACTGTTTTCTGCAGGCACCTAACTAAAATTCTGTAGAATTGTTTTATTTAGTTGATGAACATTAAAATCTCATTTGCTTTTCATTTAGTGTTTAATTTTCTTTCTTTATAGGATTATACAGGTAGTAATTTTCTGTTAAATATATACAGCATATATAACCATAAAAAATCCAGAATTTTCAAAAATCTGGTACTCTTCAGGTCTGGAGGTTACTGGATTTTTGAATGCCAACCTGTAATTGCTTTCAGGAGAAAGTTTTGAATTGAAATAATATGACTTGTGTTCTGCATTGGAAGTTCATATATAGTTAATCAGGGCTCCTGCCCCTAAGGTTTCCATATCTGCTCTCGTCTTTCATCTAGCTAACTCAAGTTCTCGAGATTAAATTAAGGAAAGAGAGACAGATGGACTGTATGGGAATTTATAGGTTACAATTTTTTCAAATTGCAGCCCAATTAATTAAGAAAATACATTGAACACATATAAAACACATTATAAATGTCATTTACTTTGGAAAGTACAGATAAGAAAACTTTATTATTTATTAAAGAAAACAAAAACAAACTCCTCTGTTTTTAAATAAATATAGCCCTATTGCTTATTCTCCCTGCCTTTAGTTCAAATTGTTTAATACAAGTAAAATATTTTTTTAATTCACAATTTTTTTTAATTGTGTAGAAGAAATGCATGCCATAGTTTAGGGACCACTGACCTAGATTTTTAACTTCTCTGATTAATTTACAATATAATTTTACTCTACTTTTGTGTTTTTGAGTTTTGCAGATGCTATAAATGAATTATAGGTTGAAATGAAAATAGGTTTTATAAATGTAATGCCTCTTAAATGTTAGTTAATGAGCTCTTTTAAGGTTATGAAAATATAGTGCATCCAATGTTTACAGATTTTGAAATGCTGAATTCATTAGAGCAGTGTTTCTCAACCTGGGGGTCACGAAACAATAATGACATTTTACAAGAATGACAAACATTTTACAAGAAAAAAATCATTTATTATAAACTTATAAACATTTTACTTACAATAAGTACACATGTAAAGAAAAGAAATTAATGTGATGGTTGCATTTGTTTTTCATTTAAAATTTTCTCCATANCATGTTCATACCCGTCGCTATAAACGCAGCGACATAAAATTATAGGAATAGTTGTATTACATTTTTTATACTATCGGTATTTTCATAATGTATAAAATTAGTGCAATGTGATTATATAATATTTTAAAAAATTTACATTTATAATTACAGTCAAAATTCAATTAGTAATAGTAAGGCTTACTGTTATTATTCCTTTGGGTGGGTGGGGGGGGTTGCAAAATATTAATTTTATTTATATTTACTATTTGGGGGGTTGTGGAGCTAAGAAGGTTGACAATCGCTGCATTAGAGGCTTTGAAATTCTTCATTTGGTTTCATTATTCATCATTTTTACATATTTTAGAAAAGATAATTATCAGAAAAACTTTTATTTTCTCTATTTGTTTTAGAAGTTTAATGTATCAAAATGAAATAAGCTTTATTTATGTCTGTGCATTTTTACAGTTGTATCTTTTAATTTTTTCTCTTAAAGTTAAATAACACTTTTAATTGACAAGACTATCGTACTGCCTGTTTATGTTACCAGCTTAGAGTTATGAAGGAGTAAATGTTGAGAGTTGATATTTGGCACAGAGCATTAGGTGCCCAAATCATTTGCACATAAAAAATCCAGACTTGTAGGTAGTCAGGGACCGAGAACCGAGTCAAAATAAAATACAAAATGGCAACCCTCTTATATAAACAGGCAAAACAGACACCACCCCACCAAAGTCAGGTGGGGAGAGTACCACCCACAGTCATTCTAAGAAGTGAACTCTGACCTTAGGACTGAACACGTAGTTTCTTCTATGTTAAATAAAATTTGTAATCTAATTTTGTAAATTTGGGAGTGCTTCAAATATGACCTTAAAACAGGATGTCATTACAAGTAGGTTTTTTAACATTACCTAGTATAGTAAAATCGTGGGACTGATAAAAATTTGACATTAGAGAGGTTGCGGCTGACGTTTTCAACACAAAAACATGTACGTCGGACTTTTAGCGCCACCTTCCTGTGAGTATAGAAGTTTGACTATGGTGTTTAGATAGTCAGTGGAATCATGCTCAACATTCCAAACACCATTGTCAAACTTCTATACTCACAGGAAGGCGGCGCTGAACGTCCGATGTACACGTTTTCGTGTTGAAAACGTCGGCTGCAACCTCTCTATTATATTAGGGTTGTCATTACATCTGATGACATTATAATCGGGTTAAACTGTATATTGTTTGTGCAAAATAAAAAAATAATTTCAAACAATACAATAGCCACGATTATTTTTTTCAAAAATGGGAAATTTTCGTTATGCATTGACAAAAATTCAACCTGGGCCGACACGCAACGGAGAGAATTTTTGAAATTGGATAGGTTAATTTCATCGAAAATGAATAGTGAATGACCTTGTGGTTGTGGCCGGTGAAGTTTGAACGATCACGCCCAAAAGCAACGATACCAAAGAAGATTGGAGAATGAGAACGAGACCCAGCTTGAGCATCAAAGAGATTCTGCTTAGTAGTGATCTCTGAAACATAGTCTTGTCCCAAATATGGTTTTGCTGTTTTACTTGTTTTAATTTAAAAACTGGGATATAACCAATTTGAATGCATTCTAGTGTGAGATCAGGGGCTGTGGGACCCTGCTCATGGATTCAGGATGGAAATAGTTTATTTTGTTTTAAAGATTTGTCATGATGTTTGTAACATCAAGATTCCTGACATCAGTTAGAATAGAATAGAAAAATCATGTCCTAATCCACGATATTTTGAAAATTATACCAATCCAAGTGGCTTATGAATCCGGGAGGAATTTGAAATCTTTTGCGAATAAGACAATAGAACTAGACCAGTACCATTTTTATCATGTATAAACATATTTACTTAAATTCAATAATATAAGCAGGGGCGTGCCGTGACATTTGATGATAGGGAAGCTGTGTTTCTATAAGAAGCCGACATCCAGGGGCAATCAGTTAATTCTTTCTTTAAATGTATTTTTAATAGATTATTTATCTGACGTACTTAATAAACAAGTTCATTATAATTACCTCTGTTATTAGATCCAATATATTCCATATGCCCTCTAAATGCCAATTCTTGCTTTGATAAAAACATATAACATCTATTTATTTAGATATAATATATCTATTACCCATAATTATCTCGTTACAATTTTCAATATTTATTTTATATTATTTACTAATGTTAAATTCTATTCCGCTTCGATTTCCAAATTGCTTCAAATACGAAAGAATCGACGATTTTTCGTGTCTTTTGCCAGCTAAATTGTCAAAGACATTCTTATTCCACACACTAATTTCACTCTGTAAATGCATTTTTATGCATTTACAGAGCCATTTTATCGTGAAAATATCGAACAAATTTTTTTATTGAAGCGTTTATATTTAACTTAGGCATTGGCCTTTCTCTTTTAATAATGTTTTCTTTTTCATTATATGATCTCGAGCCAAAACTTTTTTAAAATAAATTTTCAATATCGCAATTACATTCCGAATCGCTAGCCACGATATAAGGGCTAAAATTAAAAATAAAATTATAAAAACTTACTTGGTGAAATAAAATGTGTGGTGGATATACATACCTGGTACAAAATATTCTTCAATTGTATGAATATACTTTTAAAGAAAATTATAATTAAATATAGCTTTGTAATGAAACGTACATAAAAATAACATAAAATATTCTTTACTCTTTAAATCTTAACCACTTAGTCAAATAGCTCCCTACGAGTGGAATCAGAGACGGTCCTGCTAGGTGTGCGGTGTGTACATGCACACGGGCTGCCAAATCCCGAGGGTGCTGATACTGATCAATGTCAAATGCCTCTTTTGTCGCATCACTAGTATATCTCAAAGGACGCGACAGGGTTGTTGTAAATTTTAAACGTTTCTCACCATAGCTGTAAAAATCTAAATATGTTAAACTTAATAGATTGTCCGTCTTTTGTTTTCTAACTAATTCGTTTTAGGACCAGGTGTTGTCCACGGAAATTTCCAAAATTTACAACTTTTCGGTCACTCTCGTCGAACTGGAAAAATTTCTGTCTTTATTACATCTAATACAGTATTTCGAAGAAATCAGTCCCCACTGTACTCGGCTATAGATTGGTTCGGTTAAGCTTTTGTTTAAGTAATATTCCGGCTCTTTCGTCAGGGTTTTGTTTATGTCCCCAATTCCCTAATCGCTTAATTATTTAACTACTTCTTAAGTAGAAATAAATCGAAACCGGTTACTTTGTACTCGAATATTTGTAGTCTCGCAAAAAGGCGGAAAGACAAATTTTTATGACAAACGGATACACAAATCGTAAATTTAAGGAAAATAAATTCTAGAGCCTTTTCTGTACCTCGTGCATCTCTCTCATTCATTAAATTTAGTTGTAAATGATGCTACCAAAGTAACAGTTAATTTTTTAACATTATACAAGAATTGTACACGTTTTTTTCTACATCCCCTGAAAGATGGGATGTAGAAATCGTAAAATCACTGGTTTAACATCAAAATCCATGAGTAATATAAAATCGAAGAGCGGAATAAATATATCAAATATTTTAATGGATTTTTTTAACTCCTGTCAACTATACAGAACTATCATAAAAACATAGTAAATTCTTATCGGTTGGGTTAAGTTATAAATCTACTCATTATTCACGTAATCGAAATATCTAGTGGGCAGGCAGCTAACAGCCCAGAACCGATCCTTGATAGAATTGAAATCTTTATATGTGTGCAGCTTTCACCCAAGGTTGTAGGCTTCCACTGGCTAAACCGGGTGAGGTTGGTGCTCTATAAAGCACATGCACAAATTTGGCTTTTCGTAATCTGAAAATACAGGAGATTCCACTCCGCCACTAATATTCTAATATACAATAGCAATTTCTTTTTTCCACGTGTAGTATAGAAATTTGTAATAAGATACATAATGCAGTTATAATAAAATATTGTGTGATTATTTTCATATAATTAAAATTAATATTTATTTATTTTTTAGAGAAGCGGCGCTTCCAACGCTTCTAATGACGGCACGCCACTGAATATAAGTACCTTCAAAAAATGATAAATATAAACACAACACAAATATTAAACAATCTCTAAAATACCATGGGTCTTATTGCATAAATCTACTATAAGTATATTTTTCTTAGCTAGTTTACTGACATATCAAATTTATCTAAAATCGAAGAGAGTTTACAGCAAGGGTTGCCACACTTTTTTGATTGTTGACCCCCTGCAAGTTTTCAAAACCTCACATTGACCCCACCAAAAAGTTTGTGTTACAAGCAAAACAAAGTACTTACTATTTTAATACATTTTTTTTAATTTTGCATTTTTTTTTCATTTATTGTATATTTGTTAATAATAATTTTTGTAACTGACAATCAGTGAGATGGATAAGCTTGATCCTTAGCTTAAGCTTNACCAAAAAGTTTGTGTTACAAGCAAAACAAAGTACTTACTATTTTAATACATTTTTTTTAATTTTGCATTTTTTTTTCATTTATTGTATATTTGTTAATAATAATTTTTGTAACTGACAATCAGTGAGATGGATAAGCTTGATCCTTAGCTCCCTCTTATCCTTAGCTTAAGCTTGATAATCAACTCTTCAATAATGTTATACTGACCCCTGGGGTCAATATCGACCACTTTAATGACCCCTAGTTTACAGGTTTGAGAAAATGCAATATCTCATTTCTTTTCTTCTGAATCATTGATGGGACTGGCTGCATTTTCCTGTATTTGGTGAGAAAACTTTCTTTTATTTGGACACCAAATTTCTTGGAAGTTGTTTCCAAGTCCAGCTCTATGGGCATTGGGGTGAATCCTATTTATAGGATGTTTGTCCGACCAATCATTTGGGGCTATTCCAGTCATTTGAGGAGAGAAGCAACAAGGAATTTCTCTGTGAAGTTGATATCAAAATCAGAATCTCTCCTCAGGAACTTCCTCCAAAATTGAAAGAAAGTTTGTTTGTGACTAACACAAATGTTTCCTGTTTAACAAAACTTTTAAATTTTCTATTTAACTAAAATATTGGGCCCTAGGTTTTCATACTAGAAATACAGAATTTATTTTTAACAAGTAAGGAATTCTTTTATGATGAAAGTACACAATTCCTGCATTCTGTTTAGGACACGTCTACTAATGAGGTGTATAAAAAAATCAAAATTAAGAAAAAATTGTGGGAATTGTGTACTTTTATCACTTTTATACTACATATATTATAGTGCCATTATTATGTGAATTATATTGCAATGATATCAAAAAAAAAAAAAAAAAAAAAAAAAAAAACAGCTGACAGCAAGCTGAACAATGTTATGCTATATGATAATCATAAATATAGATTATTAGGTTTAGTGGATCTACACAACAACTTTTGCATTTTCAATAAGAATAAAAGTAGAGATATTAAAGGTATGCAGTAAACATGGACCTCCCATCATTCATTGGTACAATCAGAGAAAAAAGTTTTCTTGACATTTAAAACTTATTTTCACGCACGGTTCATTTTGATATTTTCGTACATAAATCCAATAAACACAACAGTATTTGTATAAAGCTATACAATTTCACATTGAAAACAAACACAATATAAAATAATAGGCATGTCTACATTGATTCAGCTCCCAAACGTATCATTCACAGCTTGAATTAAGCCCAGATATTTGATAATTTTTGATATTTAGCACTAAAGAAGGTATAAGTTAAAATATTGAGCTTATTTTATAAGAAATTGAAAGGACAAACCTGCATTTTAAACAACACTCTCTCATAGAGGGTGGATCTGATGAAATTAACGATAATTCTTCTAAAACTTCGGATAGTTCATCTTTTTCTGATGAATTTGACATTTCGAAAATATCGGTTCTGATGAAATAAAAAAACGTAAACAAAATTTTAAGACCGTATCACATGTGTCACGTGTAAACCGTAATTCGTCACGTGCTCGTTTGGTAACGTTGCCACACACGTAAAAAAATTTATTTTTTATAATAGCTAAAATTCAAAAATTAAAAATATTAATATATACACATTATTAAATTTTGTTTTTAAATTTTAAATATTTTTCTTATTAATATGATATACAGTATACTGTATATTTTACGCGTGTGTAGCAACGTTACCAAATGAGCACGTGACGAATTTACAGTTCACACGTGATACGGTTTTAAAATTTTGTATATATATACAAAATTTATAGCAAAATTATAAAAAAATAGCAAAAAGTGCTTTTTTGTATAAATTTTGTTTACGTTTTTATATATATATAAACGTAAACAAAATTTTAAGACCGTATCATGTGTATGTATCATATATATATATACAAAAAAGCACTGTATATATATACAGTGCTTTTTTGGGGAAAAAAAGGTAGTGAAATGCTCATCTAATTACTAAAATTATATTACATGCATCTTACACAAGATTCGGTACCATCTTACACAAGATTCGGTACCATCTTACACAAGCAGGAGCAGGACCATCTTAATAATTTTGTTGCCGATCTATGCTCAACGCGGATCAAACATCAAATTTTCAAAAATTCTCTTAAAACTTTTAAAATATACCGAAAAAAGGTGGTGGACGCCGTTCCATTGCATTCTATGACAAAAAAAGCCCTGTATATATATATGTATATATGTGCGTGTAATTAAGTGAAAATTGAAAAACTTTATAATAAAACTTTATATTTATATTAAAACGTTTCAATTCTTTGTGTTTTTTATTCTCTCCGCCCCGTGGTATTAAGAGGGCCTCTTTTATCAAGCCCATTATAGGTTCGACCAGGCCCGACATATCCGGACGGACCACCCCCGAAAAATTCCTGGAGATTTTTCGACCCGTCCGGATTCGATCCCGGATCCACCAGAGCGGTAGTCTGCCACCTTGACTGCTCGACCATCAAGCCTTATTCAGGCGCATCATGGGTTCGGCCAAGCCCACAATGGGACAATGGGGGCGGTTGGTTGGTGAAGAACGCGTCCGAGGTATCCGGGACAGACTGCCTCCGAAAAATCCTTTTGGTTTTGAATTCCAGTATTTTAATACTTTAAATTAATAGAATCTTGAATTCCAGTATTTTAATACTTTAATAGAATTAGTTCTTTGTTTGCCAGGAAGTATCTGTAGAATCCAGGCAGTTTCTGTAGAGAGAATATTTTTTTTCACTCATTTTTCCTGTGGTCTAAAAATAAGTCGAAATTAAGCAGTGAAGCTACGAAAGCAATGCGAATTATAAAGTAAAATTGCGACTTACAATGCGATAAGTTTTATGATAAAATTGAAAGTGGAAAAAAAATAAGTTCATCTGAAAATATGCTTAGTTTGATCCTGGAGTGTCTTCTGCGTCAACCAAACTATTAAATTCGATATTACTGTATATTGTATAGATAACACTTTTCCGTTAGCGAATTTTCGAAAATACAATCTTTTAGAGAAATTTACGTTTTCTTTTTTACGTCGTTAATAATGTACTAACAAATTTTTAATAACGCCCATTTATTTTCTTGATGGAAGGAAGACCTGTTTTTATCAGCTGCGGCTCTTCCGTCCCATTTTGGCATCAAGAAATTACCAGCCGAATCATATATCACTATGAATTCTAAGGTGATTATATAACACAATTTTATGATTTGAAATTATATTAAATTTCTCGTTGTCATGAAAAAATTATTGCTCTGAATGATCCAAACTTTGTTTCAAACTTTTGTAACTCTTTGTGGAATGTGATGCCTGTCATATATATTTGCTGGCAATCAAACTGTCAGGCAAGCCTTTCCATAATATAAAATCAAGTATACAATCACTATCGTAGCGAGGGAGGCAAGGGGTCTATCAGGCCCCGGGCGCCACTCGCAGAGGGGCGCCAAATGGTCTCCAAGACAGACAAGATTTATTTCTGGAGGAGGAGGGGGCGTAAATAAAGTGTCGTGCCCCGGGCGCCAGTTATGTTCACTACCCCACTGTATCATCAGAATATTGGTATACATTGCATCAATAAGGCAAAGCTCAGTAACTAAATTTTCATTAAATTATATTACAATGGGAATTTCTATTTGATTTACACTTTACACTATATATACACTATTTAATGAGAGAAATTTACTAACTTCTAAAATTATCAAAGATGAAAGGAAATTTTATTGAATACTAGCTTACCTGTCGCGCATTGCTGCGATCTCAGAAGAAACGAAATTCAAGCAAACTCGTTATGATGAAATTCAATTTACATTTTATCATTTTTATTGAAACTTATTATTATATTATTATTATTATTATTCATTTTCATCGGGAAACATTTCGAAGTGTCGTTTCGATTCTATTTATTTACTATATATTGGAATGCTTGTGGATACACGATATTTTTTGTTTTTCCGTCTGGTGCGTACACGAATAAAACAGGTTTTCCGACGCGTGAGCCGGCCACATACAGGGCCCTTAGTCTCGAGTTTTTCGTGTTGTACTCGAACTGACGTCATCGAAGTCACTCGTGTTACTATGACTCACATAATCGGTAGTCTCGAGTTAGACCCTTCGAGTGAACTCGAAAGGCGAGCGGAAGTAGGTCATATTACAGTGGCTAGAAAATATAGTGTCGAAATCGAGCTTATTTTCTGTCCCTATATTGGAGGTTGCTGCAAGAGGCGCTGCTGTCAATCGTTGTGCTACACTGGCTGTATCATCCTATGTTTATATTGGTTTTAAGTGGGATTTTTAAGCATAGTAAATGTGCTGTAGCCAAGTAAAAGAATTTAGATCGATAATAAATCATATCACTAGCAATCAATTATTATATAGTATTACTTTATTAACATTTATGAAGGAATTCATTTTATTAAAGCTAATTAAGATTCTTATTAAATCAAATAGCCTACACTGTATTGTCTATTTTTACATTACAGCTGTTGAGTGCTGTACAAACAAGTATTATTTAGAGTACAAGAGTAATCTACTCTTGTTATTACCTTATTAACAACAAGGTTTATTCATATTTACTAAAAAAATACAGAATTTATCATATTTTTAATAATAAAATGTAAGTTTTATATGGCTTTGTGAACCTCTTCCACTGTGAGGGCCTAAAATAGAATTTATTAAGCAAATGCCATCAGTTACNAAAAAAAAAAAAAAAAAAAATCTAAGTACTGTATTCTAATTTTGGAACTTAAAATCAACCCAATGAGGGATTTAATCCCTTTCAAGAAAGATTTTGAATATTGAAATGTCAAAGTAGGGAATGCAATAATCTCTTTGACATTAATAGCTTTTTCAATTCAGAAAGCTCAAAGTTTAAATTACATGGAGAAGTTTCACAAGACTTTCAAGATTAAAATGCAACCTGGAGAGTATGAAGAGAAACTTTTTCAATCATCAACAAAGGTTTATCAATTAATTTATTTAATGCTTTAGCATAAAAGATATCAAATTGATTGGAAAATTCTTTGCCTCAATATATGACTTTCTGGTAAATTTTGGAATAAAAATATCAGTTAACCTCTAGCTTAAGACTATTTAACCAGACTGCAGACAACATAAATGTGATATGGAATAGTTACATATTCTGGCTTGCGGCCAGATGGCCGAGTGGTCAAGATGGTAGCCTACCGCTCTGGGNCAGGGCGGAAAGAGTTAAAAAAAGAAATAAAACATATTCTGGCTTGTATGCAATTTAGAGACAGCAAAACCTGTCTCCAAATTGCATACAAGTCAGAATTACATTATATAGTAGAATCCCACTAGTCCGAACATGTTTCGGTCAGCAGAAATTTTCTGTAACAAGAGTCCACTCAGGGGTGTCCCCTTTCTCTTTCCTGAGTGAACCATGTGAATAAGGCTTCAAGCTTGTCAAACGTTGAGGACCTTCTTGTATGTCAATTTTCAACTGATTTTACTGAATTAGAGGCACAAAATTGCTTGATCTTTGTGTGTTTTTTTTTTCAGTCGGTTATTGTGGCGTTGCCCACTCCAAACTATATTGCCAATTTTGTTGCACTTTCATCCTTCTCCAGCCTTTTCAAAATGTCCAATTATCTTTCAATGTGCACATTGTGTTTCCATTTCGTGGCCATTGTAGCAACAGAATAAACTAAACTAAAATAATGTAGAGCAAAGAGTATTCTATTTGATTTACACTTCAACATCCACAATTAAGTGTGCTAACTCACACAGTAACATCAGTAAACTGATTGGAATCCTGGACTGTGTATTAAAAACGTTTTTTACAGTTAAAATAATTTTAAGGTAAACAACGAAGGCAGGTTGCCATTTCAAAATTACAAAACTCATTTTTGTTAACTGTTTGCACCCTGTATTGAGTACAAGTCAGTTGAAATAAAGGGTTGGGGTGCTGACGTCATTGGTGTTGTTGGATCTATATCAATGTTTCTCAACGGGGGCGATATCGCCCCCGTGTGGGTGTTTTTCCATGTTCAGGGGGCGATTAATAACAATTTATACTTTGGGAGGGCAAAAAATAATTTTCTGGGCGATATAGTAAAACATTATATTAAGAATAATTAGATATTTTATTTGTTATATCGTACAATAATTAAACAAATAAGATTATACTAGTCACTAGTCTATTCAATGCAGTACGAATTTGGCATTAGCCTTGTCCCTCGGCATCGGAATTTTATAGTGAAGGGGGCGACGATTCATTAGAGGTTGAGAAACACTGATCTATATAAACCAGACCTGTTTTACTGTTTGCTTCTGTGTTATTTAAATTATTTGACTAATACAAACAGGGCTCAGTCCCAATTAGTTCAGACTAGCAGGACTCTACTGTATAATCTTAGTTTTAGAAATTAATGATTAGGGTTTCTCAAACGGGATTCCGGGATCCCGGTTGTTTTTTTAACCCGGGAAATTTTTCTTATCCCGGGAAATCCCGCAAATTTCTTGAAAATTCACTTTTTTTCTTATTTTGTGTTAAGGTTGAGGAATTTTGCAAATAGAAAGCATAATTAACTCATTCACTGTCAGAATACATTTGTATTTATTAATTTTAAACCTACCTATTAGTTTTTTTTAAATTTTTGCTCGTTATAGCATGTCACAAATGGTCAATAATCAATATATAGCTTATTTGTGGCAGGACTATAAAAATTCTTTACTTGTCGGAACCTGTAATATCTGGAATAATTGTGCTTACGCTGTCTTGAGTTTTAACCATGCCCAGTAGCTTCAATAAATGCCTGACGCCAGATTGTGCAAATTGGGCAAGGATACAAACGAGTACAAAGTCTGCAAGTATGAAGTTTTTCTTCATAAACCTGATTATTAAAGCCAAATGAATTGCCGAATTATCGAGCTCTAAGCTTGATGCCGCTATTAAAGCAGCCAAGGTAGACAAATCAAGAATACTAGAGAGCGAAAGAAGTACTACAATCTCGAAAACGAACTCGAAATCTTCCAGGCTACAGGTGAAAAAACACATAATATCTGTCTTCTCTTAAATGCATTAAACACTATTCCAATCACATCAATTGAATCGGAAAGGGCATTCTCGGTGGCAAGACTTTTCATTACTAAAATAAGAATTAGAGTGAGTTATCGGAGTATTGACCATCTTTGCTTTTTAAAATCTTATAAAAGTTTGCAATATTTTGTATTATATTTTATTTAAAAAACGAAAATTACCTTCTAAATTAGAAGTTCATTTTTTTAATTTTTAACTCAATTCAAAATTTTTTTTTTGTTGTTGTTGTATGCAGTTTCCAGCAAACTTTAATTAATTTTTTTCTATTTGTGAAAATTTCTACGTTATTTAAAGGTAATTTTTATTATAGGCCTATAGACCTAACACAGCATTATTAATATGATTTTGGAGGTTACAGAACTTTAAAATTACTTTAAAAAATGGAAAATAATTATATCATTTGATTTCAAGATATTTTGTATACCTTAAAAATAATTAATTCTATCCTGGGATTTCCCGGGATCCCGGGAAACAGTTCACTTTTATCCCGGGATCCCGGGACAAGCAAAAGACCGGGAAATGAGAAACCCTATTAATGATGGATTCAAGATTTAAGATTGTAAGATCTGGACAAGATTCCCAAGAAATCAAATTTTCTTTGCCTTGTACAGTACATTCCATCAACAAGACAAGGCAAGGCAAAGAAAGCTTTGCCTTCTTGATGCAATCTAGACCAATATTCTGATGATTGTATACAGTGGGGTAGCGAACATAACTGGCACCCAGGGCACGACACTTTATTTACACCCCCTCCCCCTCCAGAAACAAATCTTGTTTGTCTTGGAGACCATTCCAAGAATCCTATGCTTGGAAAGCCAATGATGAGTAAATGTCAGTTTATCTCCAAAGCTTAGGAAGAGCCAAGAATCTCAACTTGGAGCAGTTTGTTAGATAAAATCTTTATGAATTAGAACTTAGCAAGTCAGATATGCAGAAGTTCCATTTTAAGATTGCTCAGGTTTTCCCAAAATATTTTTATATTAGTTAAAGACTTTTTTTGTAGATATCCTATTTGTCTGTATGCTTACATGGTTTTTAGTGATCTCAGTGAACTTGACTGTCTGTTTTTCCAGAAAATTAAAGGAGAAGCAAATTTATCTTCTGTAAGACAATAATAGTAGAATTGAAAAATACCAGCATGTTATTGAGCAAAAACAGTATTTGACTTGATACTCAAAACTGTGTCATAGCAAAATATATATTGAACAATTACTGAAAAATCAAGCTTACTTCCCAGACAAATATTATCTAGTAAGATTGAACAAATTCTGAAGAAATATTAAAGACAAAATCTCCACTCATTCAATCTATAATACAAATCAATGACAACGAAAAAAAGATATACATTTATCTAAAAATGTAGAAATGGAATTTCTGTTTACATCAGATAATATTCTTTCAAGTTTCCTGTCAAAAATGATAAATGGTATCATATCAAGATAGAAAAGTTGGAAATCCAAAGTTACTGCTGAATTCTGGGATCAAACATTGGTCAAAACCATTGCAAACTTTACAAGTTACTATTAGAATGGTGAATTTAACAGTAAATAATAATAGAATAATGTAATAATAAGGTAGAATCAATTATGCTTTGAAATATAAAATTTGTAACAGCTGAACAATAATGTGCAAATTTTCAATTACTATTCTATTATAATATTTTTATTTGTTTTTGTAAAGAAATAACTCATAGGAACAGATTCATATATTCTTATATCAAGATCAACATAACTTTCTAATTCTAAAATCTTAATAAATTATATATTTTATGAACCACACAAAAAATCTGCAATAAATATATTTTATTTATTTTCACAATAAAAAACATAGAAGAAATTCATATTTATGCTATAGTTATTTGGATAAAGAAAAAATTTTTATGTATATCATTTATAAGTATGATTGTCTGACATTTAATTTTTGTAAAAAATATTTTAACAACAACAAGCTTAAATTTCAATAAAGTGTACAATATTACTCTTATATATATACAAATTTTCAATTTATATACTTTCAATATTGCTTTATAAATATTTAATTTCAATTATTTTGATCTTAATTTTGGCAATATTTAATACAATTATTTAAATTTTTATGGTCTGCTAAATAGATCTCTTTAATAAATACTGACTTTTTGAAATTTCTGATAAATCACTTTATCACTTTGGAAAATATTAAATATTGGTTTATTAAAAGTTATCAGAAGACTATCTCATTCTGCAATATTAAATTTCATTGAAAATTATATAAATACCACAGTAAAAACTTAAAAATAATTATAATTTTATATATATATATATATATATATATAATAAATGAAATTTTTAAATATAACTATTGCTTATGCTTCATGATTCTATTTTCTTTTGCCAAAATCTTTTCTCATAAGCTTATTGGAATTCATAGCATTAATCATGATGTGAGTTCCAATAGACATATCTACTGCATATCATAATAATTTATAAAAATTATCTATCATGAATTTTTCTGAAAGATACATATCAAGAACACATACAAGGGTATTTACTTCTAGAATTCAATTAGCAAGTGGTCATTTAACTATGAACTGTATATGCAAAATTAACTATAAATACAGAAATTTATTCTGTACAGCCACTCTTCACTTAATGACCTATCTGTTTAATGACCGCTTGGAGTTATGATCAGCTTTCCAGTGCTGGAATCCCCTTTCTTAGTCTGTCTCAGGAGTCCCCTTTTGTAGTCTTGTTCCTACAGTCAGTCAGTATTTACTATCAATATATGAAGTGTTTGCAATCTCTAAGACTTCCTCAAGATTTCAATCTCCAATATTTCATTTATAAATTTGTACTTTATTGTGCACTCCGTAGTACAAGATGCCAGTAAAAAGAAAGAATATGACATAGAAGTGCCAAGAATAATTATTTTTTAAATGAATGAACTTTAATTTTTTGGTACAACATTTTGATAATTTTTACTGATTGTATTTTTATGTTCTGTAATATGTAAGAGATGTAAATTAAAGCAGTTATCAAGTTGGAGTTTCCTTTAGACCATTTCTTTATCAAGAATAAATAAAACAGTTAAACTCATTTATCAACCAATACACAGGAATGGAATTCAATCATTGAGTGAAGAGTGCTTGTATTATATATTTTGATTGATGGAGAAATCAATCAACTATTGGTAACATTCAATTCTTTTGGGGAATAAGTAGCAGAATATATATCTATTTAGAAGCAATATTTAGACCAACATTAACATATAAATAAATACTTTTAAGCTAAAAATATTCAAATGATAATAAAATAGATCTTTCTAAGGATTTTTACTTGGAAATTTCAACTTTTGTGGATTTGGATATTCAGGATTTTCAATTACACCCTTTCCAAATTTCATTTCTAAGAATTGTCTAATATTATTTGGTGCTGAAGCATATGTGCCAATGAATTTAACTTTTGTTAAAGGTTTTAGATAATGTTCAGGAAATTCTATGTCTTGTTTGTGTGTTGCAAACCAAGTATGTTTGGTCATCATACCTTTGGATGGATAAAATGGAAATATATCTACATGAAGATGATTAGTCTGACTGAACTGAACACGAATAAAATCACCTTCTCTTGCCTTTTCCCATACAAACCCTTTATTATCTATAATAGATTGTTTTTCAGAGTTCTTTAACCATTCACATTTTTTAATATCTTCTTCATAAATTCCTATGTCAACATCATAATCCCAAGGAATGATGTCTCCACTGCGAGCAGCTCCTAACAGACTACCTCCTTCCAGCCAATATCTAACACCACATTTTTCTAGTATTTTAAATACATGTCGAGCTGTCTCTCTCAAATTCTCTAAGCAACAAGGTGGGGTCCATCGGCCTTCATATAAATAATCTGGCATATCATCAATCACTGTTCCAAAACAACGAGTTGTTGATTTTGTGCATCCATACCAGTCAGTTTTTCCATCTTCATGAATAACTTTTTTGATTCCCCAGCTTTTATGTAAATTGATCAATCTCTGTAAAACAAATGTTTCATGCTTCCAATTATTATGTGGGTCAAGAAATAATTGCTTTTCTTGTTTTAAACTTGAATTTAAAACTGCATAAATCTGTTAATGAAAATAAAATTACACATTAGATAAAAGGTCTAAAAAACAATATCTTTTATTATTAAAATTTCAATCAACAAATTACAAATTGTTATTTTCATATCAGTTTCATTAGTATTGATATTTTCTATGGACAGATTTTTTTTTTTCACTCTTTCTGTTCTTTGAGCATTAAGGAGACCTTTTTTCCATACTCATCATATGTTCAGTCAGGTTCATAATGGAAGTGACTGGGTGGTGAGGACCAATATATCTGAGACAAACTACCCATAAAAAATTCCTGGTATTTTTCATCTGGATTTGATCCCAGTCCTCCAAAGCAGTACACTGATGCCTTAATACCTTGGCCATCCCAAGATCTCTAAGAGGTTAATATATTTTATTATATACAAGTTTAATTAAATCGGAGGGGGGGTCGGAAATCACAATAAAAATTTTAATTATTTAAAAATATTGTAAAATATACGGTCAACTAGTATTCACCCTACTATAAACCCATCGCCTCTTGAGACTTCTATGAGAATGTCCCAGGAAATCCAACACCAGCTGTTCTCAAGGTCATCCAGCTGTAAACACAATGACTCATTGGTGTCAAATTTCGCAGTAAGGCGGAACAATGGAAAATAAAGTTTAAAGCCTTTTCTTTAAAATTAATGCATTTCTTTCGTTTTTTTTCAGTTTTAAGTATTTTTTTACGTTTAATTACATTAATATCAAAAATTGCTGGGAACTGAAGCGATTAATGTACTGGGACTTCAACATGGTAATGTTGAAGTCCCAGTACATTAAAAAAAACATTAAAAGTTTTATTATATTTTTTAAATAAAAAAAATTTGATAAAACGTATTTATTTCCTAATATTCAAAAAATTCAATGGAATAATGCATAATAATTATTTTTGAGATCCCCATAGATGTGAAACAGATCAAATAGCCTTACTTGGCTCCTAGTGATAAGAGCTTGAACATGTAAATAAAAATTGTTCATGATGATGTTTCTTTTTCATTAAACTAGCATAAATTAACAATTTTCTCAACTAAAAAAGGGTAAAATAAGATTGCAATGATCCTCTTCTGGAATAATCCTAGAAGTATCAATGATCTATCATTTTTATTTAAACTTTTTAATTGAATAAAATATATTTTTACTTTTAGAAAGATAAGCATCTATATATATATATAAAGTATATATAATTATCTTTCTAAAGTTAAAAGTACAGTTGAAAAATTTTAATATTTTATAAAAACAATGCTAGTTTTTAATAATGTTAAATAACAGTTTTATTCTTAGCTAAAGTATTTGCCTTTGTAAAATAAACACCATAAAAAAAAACATACTGTTTTTCATTTTATAAGCCAAACATCATTGTCCAGTTGATGACCTATAAACAATTTTTATAACCTCTTAATATCATTGGGCTGCAATTTGAAAAAATTGTAACCTATAAATTCCCACTGTCATCCACTGTCTGTCTTTCCTTAATCTTGAGAATGGAGTTAGATAGATATGGAAAGATTAGGGGGAGGAGGCCCTGATTAACTATATATGAATTTCCAGTGCAAAATGGAAGTTACATTATTTGAATTCAAAATTTTCCCCTGAAAGGAGTTAGATAGATGAACTGCACGACTCTATTGCTAACAGAAAAGTATGATTACAGAGGCAAGACACTACTAATTTGAGGTGAAGAGCATAAATTTTAAATTAAAAATATGATTAAAATTGTAGCATGTCATTATGACAATGTCACAATAAATAATTGCTTGTTATTATTAATTTTATTATGTAATGTCCTTGAGAATATTAAAAATACTAGGCTATTTGTAAATTTATTATAAAATATGTTTATAATAAATTTACAAATATAATAAAATATAATATATAGTTAATCAGGTCCTCCTCCTCCTAATATTCCCACTGTTATCCACTGTCTGTCTTTCCTTAATCTTGAGAATGGAGTTAGATAGATATGGAAAGATTAGGGGAGGAGGCCCAATTAACTATATATGAACTTCCAGTGCAAACTGGAAGTTACATTATTTGAATTCAAAATTTTCCCCTGAAAGGAGTTAGGTAGATGAACTGCACGACTCTATTGCTAACAGAAAAGTATGATTGTTTACTAAAAGCATGTTCCTTAAATGGGTTTGCTTCTCCTTAGATTATTTCATTTATCCTTATGAGAGTGAGTAATAACAACACATGAAAAACAAGCAAAAAAACTCCTACCCTAAAAAATGTAGTGTCTTCCAAATAAAACTGCTGCATATTTGATATTGAGAAATTGAAATATTATCTGTCATATGCAGACTGTATTTCAATGTATTAACTATAAAAATGAATTTACTCTAAAAAAATACCTTTACTGTTTAAATTATTAAATTATTTAAATTTAAATAAAAATGATAGATACTTCTAGGATTATTCCAGAAGAGGATCATTGCAATCTTATTTTACCCTATTTTTAGTTGGGAAAATTGTTCATTTATGCTAGTTTAATGAAAAAGAAACATCATCAAAAAATATGATTAAAATTGTAGCATGGCATTATGACAATGTCACAATAAATAATTGCTTGTTATTATTAATTTTAATATGTAACTAGCTGCAAGGATCCGCTTCACTGGGTTTTTATTTGTTCGTACATTTGTATGTAATATAGTTTTTTTTTTTTTTTATATATATAAAAGATTGTTTTTTCTAAGTAATCTAGAATCTAGCTGCAAGGACCCGCTTCGCTAGGTTTTTATTTGTGGGCAAAAAGTAACGATAGTGAAGATTAAGATAATTACATTATAGCCAATCTTACCCGTTTTCACAGAATGCAAGAATTAGGTCCCCCGTTTCCAGACTAAT